CTCTGTCTGCAGCCTCACTTTCACTGCAGGAGCTGCTGTTGCCTCTTCATGACTTGGCCCTCTGGCCAGGTCACTCAGCATTCCCCTGCCCTCTTCTGGGGTGGAGTTGTTCAAAGTCTCTTCGTTTCAAAGAGCATCCAGCAGTCCTCACATGTGGTGCTCTGACCCTGTCACTCCTGGAGTGACCCAGGCACTCTTCCAGTTCACTACTCTGCCATTACCACTTTCACGGTGAACCAAGGCCTGCCCTCTATTCTGGATTCCTGCCCAGGGACCCTACAACACGCAGTCTGTTCAGTCCCAAAATTTGCTGCTTCCTACCCTGCATCCTATAGGCTCTCTTCTCCAGCCTGCTCTCTTCAAGGTATGCCCTTCCTTCAGGCCCAGGTCTCCAGGTTCTCCTCTTTCCCTGGGTTTCCTCCATTGCTCTCTACTAAACAGAGGGTGACTACAAACTTCCTCCCAGCGGCCTTTGCTGCTGCCAGCTTCCTGGCTTTATACTAGCCCACCCACCTCTGCACAGGTGAGCTTCCCCCTAGTTAGGGTTTTTCTCTCACCCTTAATTCTCCTGCATTGCAGCCTACTTGGCTGATTGGGCCCACCTGGCCAGCTCAGGCCTCTCAGAGCCAGTGTGGGAAGTACACCCCACCACACTCTTCCTCACCCAGAAGGAAGATCCATTCCTTGCTATTCTGAGCTATAGATCAATACCAATAGCTGCTACTGGATAGAGTCCAATACAGTTCCCGATGGGAAGACAACTCAGATTCTTTTCCAAAGTCAGAACAGTAGTTCTATCTCCAAAGTGGCCAGACATGAAGAGAGTAGCCAAATTGGGTAAAAAGGCAAAAAGGACTTACAAACACTTCTATACTAGACATCACTCAGAGAACAGCCAGATCTAAGGAAAAGGAATTCATCAACCGGATCGTATGTGATCGAAACTGATGAAACTGGTGGAGAGTTCAGCGGAAACCATCAATATCTTCAGTTTGTTTCTCAGAAAGAACAATCAATAGAGCAAACTCTACAGATGGCAGATGCAGAACAAGAAGACAACTGAATGATTCTGAACTGACCACACCCAGTCATTGCAACTAATGGATAGCCGGATGGACCAAGTTGTTACACATTCGGATCTTGTATAGAAAACCAGTAAGATTCTGAGACACTTAATAGACTGATACGTACTCAACATTAAAGATAGCATGACAGTATGATTTTTTTTTAAATGAGGAAAAGGTAAAACTAAAAGGGGGAGACATGATGGAATGTTAAAACTGTGTTCGTGTTCACCCACTAGGTTGCACCATGTGCAACATAACTTACCTGAGCTGGTAACAGCCATACTTGGCAGTGCATTAAAGTATCTTAAAAGAGAACAGATCTCTTATACTGCTCTCCATGACAGAAGCTCTGTAGCCAGTCCATCTCTGGTACAGAAGCCGAACCTGCTAGTAGTAGCCTTGTAACCTACTACTTCCTCCATGTACAAGGAGCACATGACAACATCAAAGCAGTATCCAAATTATTAATTATTATTACTGGTGCATTACAGTTGACTTACTGCTTCTTCCTCCATGACATTTCTAAGCTCAGAGCTCTTTTCTCTCCCCACCCAGATAAATCTTTTCCAGACTCTTATCTTCCATCTCATTACTGTATAGATGAATTACCTAAGGCTCTCTGAAAACCACATCTCCCCCTTCCACTCTGCACAAAACATAATCTTTCTTGCTTTTCATTCTGATTGAACCTCTCCACTGATTATTCTCACGCCACCACATCAACCTCAAGCTTCTTATTTGGCTTTCAAGGCTGCTCATCACTCTGCGCCTCTCTACTGTAATTATCCTCCTTGAACTGTTGCTTTATCCCCCTCTCTTTCCCCTCTGCTCTGCCAGTGATGTCAGCCTGAAAGCCGCATTTGTCTACTTCATCCCAGCCACTTCCACGCTGTCTTCCAAACTGCTTCCTATACATGGAACACCCTTGCTGAGCTGTTCCGCAAAGCCATTACTTTGTCATCATTTAAATATTTGCAGAAAACCCACTTCTTCCACAATAGGTACAAAAACCAAGCTTTCTAGGTCATGTTATAAATTGTTTCATTTATTTACCTTGTTAGTATGGCTGATTATTTTTTGACAGATTTTTTTTTTTTGGAGTTGAAAAATGGAATTCTATCCAAGACTAAATTTGTGTTTGACACAATTTTGATCACTGGAAAAAAACTTTAAATGAAAAGTTCTGGGGAAAAAAAATCCCCCCCCCCCATTTTGAAATAATAGAAAAATTTCCATATTCTTGTAATATTTTACTTTCCTAATTTCCCCCCCCCCCGCCTCCCTCTCTTTTCCACCAGAGGAAAAAAACTATTACTTCCCTCTTGCCTACGTCTACATGCCTCAATCGTCTTTCTTGTTTTAGACTGTGTATTCTTCTGTTCTTTTTAAGACTATGTCCTCTGTGTTTGGAAAGTGCTTAGCCCACTGTGGGTGCCAGCGCAATCGGAGTAAATAATAATAGGTATTAAATAAAGACACATATTCAAACTTGACTTACTCCAACAATACTATTTTTAAGTATCAGAGGGGTAGCCGTGTTAGTCTGGATCTGTAAAAAACAACAGAGGGTCCTGTGGCACCTTTAAGACTAACAGATGTATTGGAACATAAGCTTTCGTGGGTGAATGCCCACTTCGTCAGACGCATGTAATGGAAATTTCCAGAGGCAGGTATAAATATGCAGGCAAGAATCAGTATGGAGATAACGAGGTTAGTTCAATCAGGGAGGGTGAGGTCCTCTGCTAGCAGTTGAGGTGTGAACACCTGTACAGAAGCAGTTTCTCCTCCCTTCGTGTTCACACCTCAACTGCTAGCAGAGGACCTCACCCTCCCTGATTGAACTAACCTCGTTATCTCCATACTGATTCTTGCCTGCATATTTATACCTGCCTCTGGAAATTTTCATTACATGCGTCTGACGAAGTGGGCATTCACCCACGAAAGCTTATGTTCCAATACATCTGTTAGTCTTAAGGGTGCCACAGGACCCTCTGATACTATTTTTAGATATTTAAAGATTTTATATTTGAATATTGATTGTATTTAGTGCTCAACGGTTGTTATCCGATATCAAGTTAAATGCCATGCTATTTTTAAACATGCTTCTTAAATTCTCATAAGGCCTTGATTCAGTAATTAATGCCTAACTTCAAGCACTTGAATAGTTCCAATTAAAGTTAATGGGACTGTTTACATAGATATGTATAGTTAGGAACAAGTAGCTTGCTGAGTCAGCAGTATCTCCAACTCCAAGCATTCAAAATCATGAGATTTTTTTAGAAGATACAGTTTGGGTTCTTTGTAGTTTAGTTTAGTATTAAGTCTTTAGGGTATGCTGGGGGCCACAGTTTTTCATGTTCTACTGTGTAACCATGAGGGTTGCAAAATAGCTTTTTTTCTTTTTAAATGAAAGCTGAGATCCTCACTTATTCACATGATCAAGGAGCTTTGAAAAATGCCATTTATCATGAGGCTTGTGAAAAAATTATGGGAGCTGGCAGCACTGAATCAGGCGGGTCCATATACTAATTCATAATATTGTGTATATATTTATGGCCAGATTATACCCCTGTGCATAAAAACCTATATAAGAGACAGGAAATCCTGAAGGGTTCTCCATTTTCATTTTCCATGCTATTTCCCAACCAGGGAGGGGATAGGGTTTTTCATCCCCTGCTTCAAAACTAGCAGGTGGCATAACACCCCCAAAACTTGCATGTTCCCGAAGACTAGCAAAGAAGTCAGAGGAGTTACAAGTGGTGGAGGTGTCTGTGTGAAAGTCCAGTACCTCCACACTTCCCAAGTTTCTTCACAGTTCTCTTCATCCCTTCTTTTAAAGGGTGATCTATGGCACAAAGGGGCTCTGAAGAAGAGGTAATACAACCACCAACCATATTAGCTTTTCAGTAGATACTCCACAGTTTTCCAAGGCTGAGGGAGTTCCCCATCACTTGTCGTCTTCCCACAACCTGCCATCTTGTTGATCCACAGCCCATTGGGATCTTGGACTGGGGATCACAATACCATAGAGATGGGTTGCCCATCTCCCCTCTATATGTGTATAGAGGTCTACATACAGAGGGCTTCTCTTCAAGGGAGCAAGCCAAGCTTTGGGATTTTTACTAAAGCTGAGAAGAGAGGCACTCTATTTGCATTGTAATTGCTTGCCGTTCATGTGTCAACCCACATTCACTACTTGTGGAATAGAAAGAGGAAGGAAGAAGCCTCCTTGAATACATGAAGGGAGAGCAGTAGGGGTCAGCTATAAGGAACGATGGGAGAAGTGAGACCCAGAGTTCACTCAGTTGCAGTCCCTCACCTTAGAACCCGCAGAACGAATTTGACTTTGGGAACCCTTAGGATGAGCAAAGTTGATCTGAAATATATTTGAGGGTCTTAGGTAGCACATTAAAAGGAAAAGGAAAGTGGGGAAATGTTAGCATGTGGAAGCACTAGGGGTCTCATTCATTCATAAATAGTTATCACTCATGTCTTCAGTATGCATTGATAAGATTCTAGTGAAGTTTCTTGCAGTTCTTTCCTAGCCAAAGTCAAAGACACTGGAATTTTATTTAAAAATTCTATTATTGAGCTCTTCAGTAATACTATCTGCAACAGAGGAGTTTTATCTTGAAACATTCAGAAGGATTTGTTATATCTAGCCTTGCAAGCAAAGTATGGAAATACACAGTGCCAGCAACAATACAAAACTAAATTGGGATTATATGAATAAATAAATGTTACCAGTGTACAATTCCATGACTAATTTCCATATAAATGACTTGACTTGCATGCATTCTAAAAATGTCTCTGTACCCCACCCTTTTTTATATTTATTTGCGTTTTCTCAGAAGCATCTGGCTAAAAATATCTGAATGAAAGTTTGTGTATATTGCAGTCCTCTAATTATTATTGCTTTTTTATATTTGACAGTGTATCAGTTACAACAGGAGGCACCGCGTCCCAAGAGAATCATTTGTCCTCAGGAGGTCAGTTCTTCTTTTACTGTATCTTGTTAAATCTGATGAATTGTCAGTAGTGTATTCATATTGGGGATCTTTCTATATGCTGAGAGCAACTGTCTGTTTCCATTTTCTAAAATACTGTGAAACATATTTTATATAATTGTTTTCAGATTATAAGGTGGGTCTTTAAAAATGGATTAATATTTGTTAAATCAGCACAGAGATGGGAATACACAAGATTTAACCACTACAGAGACCCCTTTCCTGTGGAGATGCTAATCAGGGCATCGTATGACTCTGCTCTATGCAATACCTAAATGCTGTGTTTCCCTTTTTTCATAGTGTTGTAGGAGAAGATCCATATATTTACATATTTAAAGATATGCAACATGTCTTCACTCAATTCATGCAGTTTGTTCACAAAAAGCACTTTTTCATGAAAGAAGGCTCGCCTGTCCAATGTTAGCAAGAGCGTTCAAGATAAAATATTGAATTAATAGCAATTTTGTTCTGGCATATCATGGAAACTTTAAAGTTTGTAGAATGTAAGAAATCTATGGAACTGAAAAAGATTGCTGAATCAACATTTTCATGCTTGTCTGCTTTTTTTTTATGCCATTCATCTCTCCTAGTTTATCTAGTTAACTTTTGAATATGGTAATACTCCTTCCTTCCGTACTGTGTCTTGGTAATTATAAAAATAGGATATTGTAAGTATATATTGATTTCTCCAATAAATCAATAAAATTGGGATGGTTTTGGCTTCTAACATGTCAAGGACAAAGTGGCTGCAAGCTCCTACAATACATATAGTTACAATAATAAATATTATGATATTACTAATAATACTGAGTTCTTCGCTATATAAATTTTATACAGTAATCAAATGCAATTAAAAATATACAAGCTGTGATGTTAAAACCCCCTGAATATATAAGAAGAAATACATAGAAATGTATCAGTGTGATATTCCCAAAAGTCTTAATTATCTGCTTTGCCCTCTTCCACCATGCTATTGTCTCTTTATATAGCCAATATCAATGTAGTATCCGAGTGCCTCTCAAACATTAAAACATTTATCCTCACAACACTTCTGTGGTGCAAGGAAGTGTTGTACTGAGGCACAGACAGCTCGAATGACTTTCCCAAGGTCACATAAAAAGTCTGCACCAGAGCCAGGAATTGAATGCAAATGTCCTGATTCTCAGCCCAGTGCTTTAATCATAAGATCAAGTTTTACACTTTCTCTCATAGATGCCAGCTAGCAGTTATCTGAGAGTAGGGCAAAATTTTGGCATAAGAAGGAAAGCCTTCATGCTCTGTCAGATGAGGGTGTAAGCTGAGCATACAAGATCATAAAAGGGACAAGCAAATGTGGTTAAAGTCTCTCTCAGTCTGTCCCTGTCAAAAATGCTGCTCAAGAAAGACACCAACATGGTGACCCTTTGGGACTCCAATGCACGTAGGCCAAAAGGCTTTAACAAAACTTTTCTCTTATTTTCCCATACAAAACTGATGATAGTTAGTGCTCAAGGGCTGTAGCAGTTTTCAAAAGGAGAGCCCATTAAGATTTTTATTAAGTGAAAATCCAGATAATCATTTCTTTCATAGTCATTCAGTATCATATCTTCAAAAGAGCCATGGGTAATAGGCATGGAAGAGTATCACTCACTCCCCACTTCTGCCTTATCTACACTCACGACTCAGTTGTAGGTTGAAGAAATACAACTTAATCAAGAAGCATAGCAATTAAAAGGATACTGCTAGTGGAGTAAATGTGTAGGCAATACAGGCCAATCAAGAACTCTGCAATAGCATACTGTCTCAAGCATACTGCCTTGCTTTGGTGGCTGATGACTCTTTTGGCAGGCGAAGTGCACATCACGAAGTCTCATAAATTCCAGTATACATCTTCCTCCTTACAGTCCTGGCCGGGGGTCTCTGCTCTGCCCCACCAGGACTGCAGCTTCCCTCCTGCACCTGGCACCTGCAGGGATCCAGGGTCATGCAAGGAGTTCTCTGCAGCTACACTGTCATGGTCCCAGCTCTCTTACTCACCAGCCAGGTGTTTGGGAGCCCTCCACAGGCAGGAACTGTTCAGCAGGGACAGTGGACTCCTCATTCTCCTCATAGACCTGGCCAGGACCGCAGCCTCTCCCCTACCCATTGCACCTGCAGTACGTAAAGTCTGTGTAAAAGTTAAGACAGGACTGTAAGTAATTTATGGCTCTGTATCTTTGAGCTTTCCTAATTACACTCTTTTCCCACTACCACCTGCATAAAAATCTTGTCAGCAAAAACAGGTCATCACTCCAGTGAGATACATGCTGAACTGTTGAGAGTTGGGTTATCTAATGATTTCTAATTAATAACCACCGACAGTGTGAGTACTGTGAATATCCTCTCTTTCCAATAACATTAGATTTCTGCCAGTATCCTTGCTTTTTCTAGATTCCTTCCACAATATTTTAATAGGCATCCTTTACAAATAAAAAGTTTATTTTAAAAGCAATGTTCAGCTGGAATGTGAGTTTCTAGACAGTGTGCTGGTGTTTGCAAGTATAAAGATATACAATAAAGAAGTGTATTCTTTTATTATAGAAAGTCAATGTATGTAGTGGCTCTCTGGGATTATTCTACTGAAACGGTGGTTGAAAATGGCACATTTGCAGTAAAGAATTAAAGCAAGATGTGCCATTTTTTGTTTTTATACCGGAATAATATTTTTAATAGCATTCAGTTTGAAAATGCCATTTCAACATGTTATTTTTAATTTAAGTAAGTTTTTTCAAAAATATTTTAGTGTTAATAAAGTAAGGAATTACAGGATGAATGCTGACAGTGTTTGACTTGGGGACATTTTCAGTAACTGTGGGTAAACCGTGAATTTGTTACAGTTTTCTTTCTTTTCTCTCTCTCTTTTTTTTGGGAAGAGGGTGATGGGGGTGTGTGTGTGTCTTGCAATGAGTCTTGAAATATATTATATTCTGTACTAGGCTACATATTTAAAGCCACTCCATGTAGTTAGCTTTTACTGTTCTGCTCAGAGAAAGTCTTATTGACACAGTGCTTATAACAGTGTGCAGGTTAGTGGGCTTATCTACATTAGGGCTTTCAATACTGTTAACAGTGGTTCAGCTGAACCAGTGTTAGCAACAGTGAGAAATTTGTCTGAAATTTCCCTAGTGTAGACAAGGCCTTCGAGCTCTAACCTATATTATTATGTAGAGAAATGTCAGCTAATTGCTATGTTCATTGTTCTGAATTCCAGCTGGGTTGTGTCTAAAGCAAGCAAAAAATATGGTTCCTAGAAAAAGCAGTTTCCTCTCTAATTTTGTATGATAATGAAAGGGAGAGGGTCTTTTTTTCTCTTGCAGAAATGCCTTTTTCTCAGCTGAAATGTGAGACCTAGGATTCTAAGGGAACAAAATAATATAATAATAATAATTAATCATCAATACTAGAGCTGTCAAATGATTTAAAAAATTATCGCAATTAATTGTGAAATTAAAAAAGTAGCCGTGATTAATCACCGTTTTAATCTCAGAGTTTTAACTCTACCCCCTAGGGTGGCATTTTGGATGTTTGGCTTATCTTGACCCTCTGGATGTGTAAGTTGTAGGGTGGGAAGAGGACAGTGCGGACATTCCTCATGCCATCCTTTTGTCCAGATGGACCTACTGAAGGTGGAGGCCATCTGTAACTAGACAGCACCCTGGACCGTCTGAGGACTTCAGGTTTTCCTGAATTTTGCAAATGTTTATGGGCAATTCATTGCCAACTTCTCTAACGAACAGTCGTCTCTCCTCCCCCCCCCCCCCCCGACTTCCCTCCTTCATAAAGCCATTCGTTTCACTTGGTCTCCTGATATCCAACATGCTTTTGACCACCTCAATACTGCATTCACCACGGCTCTGATTCTGGCACATGCCTCAATGTGGCTATTGGGGTGGTACTCTCACAGCAACTTGGACCCCAGCCAGTTCTGCACACATGTTCCTACTACACTTGGAAATTCACCCCCATAGTAATGAACTATGAAATACTGGGCAAGGAGCTGCTTGCAATCAAAATTGCTTTTCGAAGAATGGTGTCACCACTTTGAGGAAGCTTGGCACCCGGTACAGGTTTTTACTGACTAGAAGAACTTCATGTACCGCTGCAAGACCTGAACTTTGAACCAGAGGCAATTAAAGTGGGCCTTGTTCTTGTCTCAATTCGAGTTTACTATCACCTACCGCCTGGGAAACCAAAGTGGGAAAGCTGATACTCCGTCACGAAAGGGGGAATACTACCAGGAAAACAAGGTACCTACTTTCAAGCCCCTCTATCTCCAAGCCTACTAATTTTGTTAATGCCACAATTAATTAAGAACTGGTCTCCCACATCCAGTCCACCTCAGAAGAAGACCCATTCACCCAAGGAACCAAGTCAACGCCATTAGGGGCTAATATGCCTCACTCCATGGGGGACAGGATAACATCCTTCTCATATATGTTCCCCTGGGATGCCCCCAACTGAAGGTGCTAGAACTGTGCCACAACACTCCATTGATGGGTCACTTTGGCTGCCTTAACATCTCCTGCATGGTTGTCCTTTATTTTTTCTGGTGGCTCCACATGCGGGTCAAAGTCCAAGTTTACATAGACTCCTGTGAGTGCTGTGCATGTACCCAGATGCTCCGGACTAGACCCCAGGGCACATTAGTCCCTCTGGAGACTCCAGTTAGGCCTTGGTCCACCATCACCCCAGACTTCATTGTGGAACTCCCAGGACCAGTGGTCACACCGAAACATATAAAACTTATCGTTTCGTTACCTAGGCAGGATTGCTTAGACCAGGGATTGGCAATCTTTGGCCCCTGGCCTGCCAGGGTAAGCACCCTGGCGGGCTGGGCCGGTTTGTTTACCATCCGATCGCAGCTCCCACTGGCCACTGTTTGCCGCTCCAGGCCAATAGGGGCTGCAGGAAGCAATGCGGGCCATGTGCCAAAGGTTGCCGATCCCTGGCTTAGACTGTAAACT